ATGGAGGGAGTAATAACAAAAAAAAAAGTCCATCGTAAGATGGAGTAGATCCTATCTAGAATTACACCGACATCCATAATGAGTGAAAACCTTCCTAATCGTATCATATGCTCTAGCCGGATACGTCATGATAAAAAAGAGGTCCCTATACTTTAGCCTCTGCACAAGATAGACCAAGTACGATGCCATCGCGTACATATACACGAATAACATGCACGGTGGAGGAGATGAAAGTGTGTGCTACACATTAAACCATGCTTGCCCGAATAATACCGCATCAGGGGACGAGAGTTCTGGTCGCGTATACCATGTTGAAGCCGGGTCCTCGATCGGTCTCGTGGCTGGTGTTGGGTCACAGCAGAGCACACCGCGACCCTTGCACCAGGAACGCCTCCGCGCCACCCGGAGTAGTCATCATCAGAAACCGAAACCACCTTCCACCGGGACGGGAGACGAGCCGGAGCCGCAGATCAGATGCTCAGCAGCACAGCGCAAGGCGCACGCCAGACCCACGCGTACCAAGGCACAGATGATGCAGGCAGGCAGGCTGGGAAGACCGTCCACGGCTACCACGCCCAACGCGCACGCCACGCCACTGGGACTGGGGAAGATGGAGACAGCACCAACGACCAATGACCAAAGAACCAACGACCAATGACCAAAGACCGGCAAGACGACTTGCTTGCTTCTCTGGTAGCGCGGCAGCTGGAGATGCCCTCAGGTTAGTATCAGATTCTATGCCTAGAGTAGGATATTTTGCACAAATGTAGGAACTATGCACAAATGTGATTAAAAGTAGTAGAGGAAGATGGTCCTATTTAGTAATGCCTAGAGTAGTATGGAAGTTTGGAGTAATGCCTAGAGTGTTTAGTTTTAGTTAAACCGAATGAGTGCTCGAAGTATTTAGTTTCAGTTGAAACTAGTTCACTGAACTTCTTGTCTCTAAACTAATGCTTGTCGTCGGTAAGTGGTTTGGCATGGGGATAAGGCTGTGGATGCTTTGTTTTTGCCGAATGAGCACTCAAATTTTGGTCAGACTATGCGTCAGTACACTAGTTGTCTGAACTTCCTGTATCTGAACATACCTGAAGAGATCGACACCTTCTCTGAAGAATTTGACATCTTGTGAAGGATCAGCACCTCTATGCTTGTGCTTTTTTTAGATAAATACTAGAGTAGATCAATGAAACTATATACTTGTGCTTGTTTCCTTGTCAGTGCTATGGCATTAGTAAATGGAACTATATATCTGAGACTTGATTGAGCTATTTGCGTTATTTTTTGCCATATATGATATGACACTTAGATTAGGAAGATTTTGCTTTGAAACTGAGAGTAGCCATATATATTTTGTTTTTCAGATTCTGATGGGAGCACTGGTAGTAAGTACCGGAGAGTCCCGGCTGGTAGGACCGAGTCGTCCGCCTCCCATCAGGCCACAACCGAGGCGTCGTCATCATCGGATGGCGATGTCGGAGTGGACTTGCATATACCATATCCGCTCGCTAGCGAGTCGGGCGACATGGAGGCCTCGGACGGCTCGGGGTCTACCTCGAGCAACACTTCCAAGAGGAAGAAATCCGGGCGTGGTCCGGGGAAGGTCCCGGAACCAACTGCTGCCAGCAACCGTCATGTCATTTGCCCGACAGGAGAGGGGTAAGCAAGCATTTCATTTGCATCATATTTTGGATGCCACAGCTTTGACACTCACATATGCTTTTCTTTTATATCATGCAGTCAGTGGGAATTTATCCCGACACAACCTAAGGGGGCACGCCCGCCGAACCACGTCATCGGCTCCCTCTTGAGGAAGCACTTCCCTGGATTGTCCAAGCCGGGTGATGACGATCCGATGTCGCCAGGTTTAACCTGGGAGCATTACCTACACAACAAGGATGAGCACGATGTCACCATGGCCACTCGGGTCATCAATGCTTTTTTTGTAAGTATCTTCGCTCCGACCACTGCATTTTTCCATATCCAAATCCTTGCTTGCGTGAATGGTGAGAAGATGCCTTATGCTTTCTTGTAGGAAACATTTGCTTGCGTGGATGGTGAGAAGCAGAAGGCGATCAAAGGCATCATGAAATCTGCCCGAAAGATACTCTCTGACCTCAAGCACACGCTGCGGTACAAAGCCGTGATGCAGTGTCGGCTGCTCGATGAGAAGGGAGAGAAGATGACAAGGAAGACTGCTTGCCAGACCAACATGTCGCGAGAAGAATACCTGTCAGTGGTAAGTGACTACATCGGTTGCTAGTACTTTGATTCATCCCTCTTGTTCCTCAATTATTCGATTTTGTCTGACTAGGTGAAGGAACCCTGGATGAAGGTGGCAGGCGCAACATGTGGAGAAGGGAAACGATCGAGCCAAAATGACAGGCCTGGCTCATGTCCAGGGGAGCCGGAACCTAACCGCTCTCAAGCAACATATGGTATGTGGATTAAGATGTTAATTTTTCGCACGGTGCATCTTGGTTCATTAAACTTGATGGTTAATTTTGCAGGAGGCGAAGGAGGGTCTCCCGGTCCTGGAAGCCTGGAGAGAAGGCCACAAGGGGAAGGATGGCGCCGAGTTCTGCAGCGAGTCGGCGGAGGAGAAGTGGGGGACCTTCAAAGAGGTCTTCCAGGAGGTGCACGGGCAGGAAGCCGAACCTACGTCCAAGCCCCTTGACCCTGAGCTTCTCATCATTGCTGGCGAGGGGAAGGGCCATGGCCGCCACCTCCTTTGCAATGGGGCGATCGCCACCTCCGGCATCGCAAGCTGCACGAGATACGCGCGTCGAGCACCAGCTCAACTCCGTCCATACGGAGTCGCCCAACCGCCGCATCATGTGAGATAGCGCGTCTCAAGGTTAGCATCCTAACCTTTCATTTATGTCCATGCCTCGAAATAGCACCGTTCCAACCTATATGAGCCTAATGCCATGTTACAGGATTTAATGGCGCAGCGGGTTGTTGAAGAGGAGCAAAGGCGCCAGGCTAAGAAGGACTCCAGGGAAAAGGAACGACAAGACACGAACAAGAGGTTGAAGTTGCTTGAGGATCAACTACAGGTAGAATATTATCTAAACTAGAGTAGAAGATTCATTACATAGGGACGAACCACCCTCACGTGACTCTACTCTTATAGGTTCTTATGCAATCTCGAAGCAGTGCAAGTGATGCCCCTCCTCCTCCTCCGGAATGTTAACCCGATGGCCTCTCCTCCTCAAGATGATCTATATATGAACAAGTGTACTTTTATTGTGACGTGCACGTGTTTTGCAAGTAGTGACAATATGTATGAATTTGCGACTTGTGTGTGACGTCTACTAGGATAATACATTCGACTTGTGTGTGACAATATGTGGACTATCCCTAATTATGCATATATGTGTGGACTAGATCAAATTATGCCTATATATGATCAAATTATGCCTATGTATGTGTGGACTAGATCAAATTATGCCTATATATGATCAAACTGCACTATAGTTATTTTTATCTGCAGGGATCAGAAAAGAAATAGCTTGACAGCAGAATGGATGGGAAAGATTTCCGAGAGCAACACTCGGAAAACGATATACTACCGAGAGCTCCTTTCGAAAACATGGTCGTCTGGGACACTACCGTTATGCCACAACTTTTTCGAGAGCAGCTCTCGGAAAAGAAGGCGAGCATTGCCGAGACTAGCTCTCGGCAAAGCTATATAAACTGTCAGCTCCCATGTGGGCCACGCTGTCCTACTGATCAGAAGGATTGCCGAGAGCTGCTCTCGGCAAAGATATCTTCATTTTTTTCAAAAGTATTTAGCAAGTTATTTAAAACTTTTATTGATAAATGTGACCAATGGGACCACATGTCAGTTAGCAAAAAAAATAGGATGTTGCATATGCTTTGCCGAGAGTGACACTCGGCAAAGTGCGCAGTAACTGACGGAGCCGTCTGTTGCGGACGGGCATGCCACGTGGCTCCTCTTTGCCGTGAGCGGCTCTCGGCGTCTGCAGGGTTTGCCGTGCAGTGCCTCTTTGCCGTGAGACAGTGACGGCAAAGATGGCAGTTTGCCGTGAAAGTGGGTTTGCCGAGAGTGACACTCGGCAAAGTAAGTGTCCGTGTTTTAGCACTCGGCGAAGAGCATTACACCCAGCGTTGTGCTCGCGTATACCATGTTGAAGCCGGGTCCTCGATCGGTCTCGTGGCTGCTGTTGGGTCACAGCAGAGCACACGGCGACCCTTGCACCAGGAACGCCTCCGCGCCACCCGCCGTGCCCACCACCCGGAGTTGTCATCATCAGAAACCACCTTCCACCGGGACGGGAGACGAGCCGGAGCCGCAGATCAGATGCTCAGCAGCACAGCGCAACGCGCACGCCAGACCCACGCGTACCAAGGCACAGATGATGCAGGCAGGCAGGCAGGCTGGGAAGACCGTCCACGGCTACCACGCCCAACGCGCACGCCACGCCACTGGGGAAGATGGAGACAGCACCAACGACCAATGACCAAAGAACCAACGACCAATGACCAAAGACCGGCAAGACGACTTGCTTCCTGATTTAGCGACGAGACCTAGCTAGCTAGCAGTCCTCTCCTCATAGCAGGAGCAATGACATTGTTCAGCTTCTTCTTCCTCTTGTTCCTCCTCTGCCTCCATGCTCTTGCCGTGTCCCCCGCTCCGGCGGGGAGGGGGAGCGACCAACTCGCGCTCCTCTCCTTCAAGTCCACCATTGCGCCCCCGAGAGGGTTGCTGGCTTCATGGAACACCTCCACCCACCACTGCAGCTGGCCAGGCGTTGCTTGCGGGCGGCGGCACCCCGACAGGGTTGTCTCCCTGCGCATGGCCTCCTTCAACCTGTCGGGACGCATCTCCCCATTCTTGGGCAACCTCTCCTTTCTCAGGGAGCTTCACCTCGGCGACAACCACCTCGCCGGTCAGATACCGCCGGAGCTCGGCCATCTTGCCAGGCTTCGGCTCCTAAGCCTGAGGGTGAATTCTCTCCAGGGAAGCATTCCTGTGCATGGCTCTTGGAGGATGCACCAACCTCACCACGCTTGACCTAAGTAGAAACCATCTCCAAGGTGAGATCCCGGGCGAGATAGGCTCCAGCTTGAAGAATCTTGTCACTTTGAACCTTTCCAGAAATGATTTGTCAGGACATATCCCTGGCTCGCTGCTACGATCACCATCCATCCAAACCGTGTCTATGTTTCTCAACAGATTATCTGGTAGGATACCACCTGTTTTGGGCAACCTCTCCAACCTCAAATATCTTCAAGTCGATCACAACGCCCTGTCCGGACCTATCCCATCGTCTTTGGGCATGTTGCCCAAACTGTCTCGGCTCAGCCTCGGCTTCAACAACTTGAGTGGAGTGATCCCCAATTCCATTTGGAACATTTCCTCTCTAGCACTGCTTTCCGTCCAGGAAAATATGCTTAGTGGAACAATACCTCCAAACGCATTCAGTAATCTTCACCTTCTCCAAGACATATCGTTGGATGTTAACCACTTCCATGGCCCCATCCCAGCTGCAATAGGTAATGCTTCTAATATCGCATTACTTCAGATGTCACAGAACTTTTTCAGTGGCATCGTTCCTCCGGAGGTTGGAAGCTTTCCGAATCTCTTCCGGATAAACCTCCAACAAAACTTGCTTCACGCAAAAGAGCCCAAAGATTGGGAATTCATAACCACGTTAACAAATTGCACACAGTTACAAGTTTTGGGGTTGGGAACCAATAAGTTTGAGGGCGTCCTCCCTGATTCACTTTCCAACCTTTCCACCTCCTTGGTGCAACTCGGCCTTCAAGAGAACAAAATATCAGGAAGCATCCCTAAAGATATAGGTAACCTCATTAACTTGCAATTTATCATTCTCTATACTAACTCTTTCACCCAAACTCTCCCCTCTTCATTGAGTAGCCTCAAATTCCTTTCCCTACTCCAAGTAAACGAAAATAAAATTAGTGGGTCTATTCCACAGAATATAGGAAATCTTACTGAACTAATTTCTTTGGACCTCAGCATGAATGCCTTCGGTGGTACGTTACCACGCACGCTTGGAAACCTAACAAACTTGTTGACACTAGATCTTTCAAGTAATAACTTTACAGGACCAATACCCAGCGGATTATTCAACATCCCAACACTCTCAGAATATCTTTCTCTATCAAGTAATAACTTGGAGGGATCACTACCTCACGAAATAGGGAATCTAAAAAATCTAGTAGAATTCCATGCAGAGTCGAACAAATTATCAGGTGAAATCCCTAGCACCATTGGTGGATGTCAACTTCTCCAGCAACTCTACCTCCAAAACAACAAATTTGAAGGTACCATCCCATCAATCCTTAGTCAAATGAAAGGTCTACAAACTCTAGACATTTCGAGCAACAATTTGTCAGGCCAGATACCTAAATCATTTGCAGACCTTACCACACTCTATTATCTCAACCTTTCATTCAATAGCCTTGCTGGGGAAGTGCCAATCACTGGTGTTTTTGCAAATTCTTCAGCAATATCAATCCAAGGAAATGGAAACCTTTGTGGCGGTGTACCTAATTTACATTTGGCCCCTTGTTCCTTGCAATTAGAAAAGAAAAAACATAAATTCCCGGTTGCGTGCATGCCTATTTCTATCATTGCAACACTGGTTGTTCTTGCCTTCATCTACAAGCTTCTTCTTACCTGGCAAAATAAAATACAAGCAACAATCCCGTCAACAACGTCCATGCAAGGTTACCAACTGATTTCTTATAGTCAGTTGGCGAGGGCAACAGATGGTTTCTCGGCAGGGAATTTGCTGGGTTCTGGATCATTTGGGTCTGTGTACAAAGGAGAGTTGGATGGTCATGCTGGAGAAAATTCAAACCTTGTTGCTGTCAAGGTATTAAAACTTCAAACTCCAAAGGCGCCGAAGAGTTTCACTGCCGAATGCAAAGCATTAGGAAATATGCGACACCGCAATCTTCTCAAGATAGTTACAGTTTGCTCAAGCATTGATACCAGAGGGAATGAATTCAAAGCAATTGTGTATGACTTCATGCCTAATGGTAGTCTAGAAGGTTGGCTACATCTTGACACAAGTGACCAAGCAGAGCAAAAGTATTTGAATCTGCATCAAAGAGTGACAATACTACTTGATGTGGCTTATGCCTTGGATTATCTTCACTGTCATGGTCCTGCACCTGTTGTACATTGCGATGTGAAGCCAAGTAATGTGCTCCTAGATGATAATATGGTAGCGCATGTTGGAGATTTTGGTCTTGCTAAGATTCTTAACGAGGGAAGCTCATTTCTCGAGCAGTCCACGAGCTCAATGGGATTTCGAGGGACAATTGGTTATGCTGCCCCAGGTTAGCCCACCTCTTCTATGTTTACTCTAATTATTCTTTGCCTAGTTATATAAAGTTTTAAAAACGAATGTAAATATAGAACTCTATGCATCATGAAAACTCTACTTATTCGAACTTGTTATTGTCACAGAGTATGGTGCTGGAAACCCTGTGTCCAAGCATGGAGATGTTTACAGTTATGGCATTCTTGTGCTGGAAACAGCCACTGGAAAGAGGCCCACCGATAGCAAATTCAGACAAGGATTGAGCCTTCGTGAGTATGTTGAGCTTGGTCTATGTGATAGTATGATGGAGGTTGTGGACATGCGGCTATCGTTGGATCTTGAGTATGGGCTTCAAACTGTGAATGCTTCTGCCTACAAGAGAACGATTGATTGCCTTGTTTCGCTACTTAAACTCGGAATTTCCTGCTCTCAGGAATTGCCGTCAAGTAGAATGCCAACCGGAGATATCGTCAAGGAACTTCATGCCATGAAAGAATCTCTCTCGAGGGAGTAGTGAATATGAAGACAGAGACCATGCTAATGCTAACCGGAATGTTTAATGTGAGAATGACATGTGCATCGATATTGTTGGGCATATTTTTGTTTGGAATTGATTCCTGCATTGGTACTTCAAACAGTTAACATGGAAGTACAACCAATTTTACGCTTCAATATTGCAGCTATTTCCTAATGTTTGCATCAGAGTACGGTCTCTACTATGCTTCAGTTCGAATCGCAACAGCTGAGTTCATAAGTCCCGATTGCATGATTAGTGATGGACTGATGGGTATGTGTTTAGTAGAACTCGTGTTAATATTGTCCATTATTTTACCAGTTACTACTTTTTCCGTGTGGCGCGTCTTTGTTTGGTGAGTGGAAAACAATTTGTTATGTTCAGAACAGAATTACGACACTCTGTCGAGAATATTGTAAACCGATGATGGTTAATAGTTTTGTCAAACCTGTTTATTTTGCTCATGAGCACAGATAAAACAGATAAACCTATTTGGAGGCCTTAGTATCCCTAATCCTGAAGCTTTCGGTAGAGCCTTGAGAGAACATGTCGAACAAACACCACTTTGCTTGCATTTGAGATGAAACTGCCCATGACACCCTGATAACTTGGCAAAGTTATCATAGCTTGATAGTCATTATTTCTGTGGTGGTGAACGGACAGGCGACATGCCAAGGTAGGTACAGGGAAATGAGGATATGGTGCGCGGGAGATTGTCCAGGGTGGCTGTCAGGTCGATCTCATTGCACTAGATTGGGATGATTCTGATCTTGACCAGTAGACTGACCGAAGATGTGAAGGATTGGAGAACTTCGGTTTGTATCTGCAGGTGTCGGCTTGATGAAGTTGGCAACTTCATCGGTTTAGATAGAAGATTTGTGCAGAATATTTAGATATCCCAATGGGGCTAGGCCGCCACTTCTATGAGCTTCATCGAGCAGTCTTCCTAAGCAGTTCATGATCACGACGAAAAGCAGCGCGGGGGGGGCTCAGTCCTCGGCGGTGCTGAACTGAGCTACAGAGGTTACCATTAATAGTCCTGCAATCCAGTTTCTCCAGCAAAGGCTGAACCCTCTGAATTTCAAGAAGTTGGAGAAGGAACTCCCAGGAGACGAAATTGAATGCCTTTGATATTTGAGGGTTAACAAGGAGGCTCAGGAGATTGCCCTCATGCAGAGATTTTGCAATTCCTTGCACACAGACGAGGTTACCATAGATGCATCTTCCCTTGATGACAACATTCTGGTGGTTCTCAATTAGCAGGGGCATCAGAGGTTGCACTCTATTGGCAACAAGCTTGCCGAAACTGCGAACAAGGTTAATAGGCCTGAAGTCGGCAGGGTGGCGGGCAGCTTCAGACTTAGGAGCAGGATCACCGTGGCTGATTTGATGGCATTGGAGGCTCTGATAGTTTATACGTACAACGAAATTTTGGAGATAACGCATAATATTGATCTTGATCAGAGGCCAAATAACTCCGTAAATATCATTGTAATTACAGCCGATGGGTTGAAATTTGTGGAGAGCATGCATAATTCCGATCCTGATCAGAGGCCAGCTAACTAGCTGGGTCCAAAATTAGGAAAGTAATACTCCTTTAACCCCTACTGAAAAAAACATAGTAATTGCAGAATTCCCTGCAATCATGGATGTTTGTGTGCGTGATATTATTGTAGTTACAGGAATAATTTAGATTGATTCGTCGTCCAATTATTGCATACCAGATCAAGGTGTCTACCTAGGCCTTCAAAGCTTTCCATAAGAAGACTGGCTAAGTGAGCGTCTCAGAAAAACCCTACAACAGTGAATATCAACATTAATTAGTGCCATGTTTATAAGTGGTTATCAGAAATCGCAGGGCTCAGCCATTAAGGTGGTGTTTGTTTCTCTAGTCCTAGGACTTTTTCTAGTCCCTGGGACTCTTTGAAAAAGACTCTCAAGAAGGTGCTTCTAAGGACTTTTAGCAAAAAGTCCCAAAAAAGTCCCACCCTGTTTGGTTTGCTAGGGACTTTTTCTAGTCCCTACACCAAAAAGTCCCTGGAAACAAACACCCCCTAAATAAAATGTTTACAAATGACTGTAAATCAGATTCAGCACATATTCTTAACACCTCTCAATGGCTCCTGCCCAAATATATTCTGATTTTTACAAGAAAGATACTAAATGTTTACAAATGACTGTAATTCAGATTAAGCACATATTCTTAACATCGCCAGTAGAAATCCTGAATGGTACATGCCCAAATATATATTTTGAGTGTTACAAGAAAGACGCTAAGTAAGAATCCCAGAAAGAAAAGAGAAACATTTAAAAGCGAACACTGATATTAATTAGAGTCATAAAGTATGTTAACAAATGACTGTTATGCAGATAAAGCACATAGCACAGCTGTTCAGACCCGGTAATCCATGGATGCTCTACCAAAAAATACATTTTGACATGCTAGAAAATATATTGTAGAATGAAGACAGTTTCTTGCCATGGAAAATCACCAAATAAAAATAGTGGCAGCCAATAACACCTTTCAGTTCTTCCTTAACAAAAAAAGTCATTATGGGCTAACTTTTTCGGCCATCCAGTCACTGGACTCATCTCCTTCCTGGGTTCTTGTGAACATCAATCTCTGATTACTTTTTAAGTTCACATAATCAACCTGAATATGAAAACCAAGAGTATTGAGCAACACAATAGGGGCATATGAATCTGCAATACATTTAACCAATTTAACTATAACTGATTCTGTATTTCATAGTAGGTGAAGATACCGATACAGAAACGTGAGCATGCGGCACAAGAAAGCTTAACCTAACCTTTTCTGGATCAAGAGTCAGAAGACAGTAGGCATCAACTGGGGCAGCCGATGGATCGATATGAACATCCTTAATGTGGTCATCATTTGCGACGGGAACCCCTGGACTTTGTCCTAAGTATTGTGATCTTGACTTCACTGAACTGGCGAACCAAGCTTTCTCTCGTTGCTGTGCGATAGAAGAACCAATGTTGAGCAAAAAAAATACAAAAGAGCACTTAATGTCAATGGAAGCAGCGCTACTGCGTTTTGTTAAGAAAAAAAATCACTGCTTATATATGCAATAGAACAGTGTGCTGATTTCGAGCATCGCCAAAAGCATTGGAAGGAGCCTTTCATTATTTTTAAGGCAGTAAGGTGTCCTAAGGCGAGGACCACCCGCCTTAGCGCTTAGGCGGCGCCTAAGCGCCTAAGGCAGACGCCTAAGCGCTTAAGGCGGGCATATTTATAAGGCGCTGCCAGAGCGTCTTATCACCTAAGCGTCTAAGGCAGGAAGCCTTAAAAGCAATGGAGCCTTTGCTCTTGACGAGACAAGCAAACTCCATGTGTGGAAAAACTATACAAAAGTAAACTACTAGTAGAACAGTTCTGCTTGCACATAACCAAATCTCACTACAATTATCCTTCAGTTTCAAACAAAACCTCCACTACACAGAACAGAGCACAAGGCAGAGTCTACTCAGCTCTAACCTGGAGCTTGGCAGGGTCCGGACTGGAACCATCGATCACATCTATGATACCGCTGATCCGAAATTGCTCCCAGGAATCGGTGAAATACCAGCATATCTGCAAGAATTTCAAGATCAGGAATTTCTCGACAAGAAATTGGCACTTGTGCTGCTCAAAACCGTGACACGCAATTCTGCAGGTTCTTCACATCCTATTCCTACCTCGCCGAGGGGCCATTCCTTGATCTCCCCAATCTGTTTGTTCGCAAATCGCACATCGAAACCAGCAAGGGAATCAGTGGGCGGAGAGAAAGAACTATGTATACATAATTACAAGGTTAGGAAGCACGGGGGGGAATAGGAGCAGCGACCTTGTTGCTCCGCGCATCCGTGTTAATCTGAATCTTGTCGCAGTGCTCTTGGAACCCCCTAGCAATGCCAAATTTCCAGATCAAAACCGGTAAGAGCTGCAGGGGAAAGGCGGGGGGCTACACAACACGGCACCTGAACACGACGGTGCGATTCGCCGGCCTGCCGCCGGCGCCCACCGTGGCCTGGAATGATCGACCGTCCGTTAGGGTGTCGAGGGGGAGGGGAACGGGAGATATGGTATGGGAGCTTACGAGCTGGAAGAAAGTGGAGTGCTTGAGGTGCGCGTTGGCGTCCAGCGCTCGCTGCAGCAGCGCCCTCCACGGGCTCGACAGCGCCGACGCGGCGGCGCCACCGCCGGCCATCTCTGCCTGTCGCCGCCGCAGACGCGCTGCGTTCACTTCGCGGGGCCGGGGAGGAATGTGTCTTCCTGATGCTCTGTGGGGAGATTGGCGCGGATGAACGGCTAGGATCGCATCGCCTGCGCTATCTCCCGTGGGGCCCGCAGGTCAGTGACAGGGAAATTACGAGTTTACTATCCCCCGCGGCATGAGGATGAGAAATTGTGTGTGGGATTAATAAAGTGCCGCATCATCGTCAGGTTATAAATTACCCCCCTCCGTTTCATAACAATTGAAGTTTTTAAGTTTGTCTTAAATCAAACATGCTTAAGTTTGACAAACTATATATAAAAAAATACGCAAAAATCTACAGCACCAAATACAAAAGTATATTTCATAAAGAAACCGTGTGAGAGTACTTTTGTGTTCTACTCCCTCCGTTTCTAAATATTTGTTTTTCTAGAGATTTCAACAAGTGACTACTCCCTCCTTCCATCTATATAGGGCCTAATGCATTTTTCGAGGCTAACTTTGACCAAATATTAGAGCAATAATATATGACATGCAACTTACACAAAGCACATCGTTAAATTCGTGTGTGAAAGGAGCTTTTAATGATATAATTTTCACATTGTGCATGTCATGTACTATTAATCTTGTCAATAGTCAAAGGCGGTCTTAAAAAACGCATTAGGCCCTATATAGATGGAAGGAGGGAGTACATACAGAGCAAAATGAATGAATCTACACTTTAAAATAGGTCTACATACATTCTTATGTGGTAGTCCATTTGAAATGCTTGAAAGACAAATATTTAGGAACGGAGGGAGTATATATGTTAATATATTTTTCTATAGACATTGACAAACTAAACAGAGTTGATTTAGAATAAATTTAGAATTTCAATTATTTTGAAACGGGCATAATAATTAACTAAATGGTCAACTCTTTTTTCGGGGGAGAATTAAGAAGTCAAGTTAGATAAAGATATTTTTGATACTCATAGGCCTCGATTAGTTTCTAAAATAAGTTAACTACACTACGGGTGCCGCCTTAACTTGTCCATTGCGATCAATTTAGTGCCTAAACTTGTAAAATACACAAAAATAATGTTATAACCGGAAAAAAAAACTGTCATTGAGTGGGTTTCTAACCTGGTACAACCCGGTTAAACACTATGCACGCTAGCCACTGGGACGAAGAATATTTTTGGTTCAACTGTTAGCTCGGAACGTATATAGTCACCTATCGCTCTACAATTTTCATTCTTTTTTTTAAGTTGCGGTTTGGCTTTTATGATATGCAAATTTTCCATACAAAAATACAATAATTATGAATATTCAACTATTGTCTATTTAAATTTTGGGCGCTGCTACACGTCGCCTTGCGAGCCATCGGATTTTACGGATTGAGCGATTGAGGTCATCTTCTACCAATGCAACACATGTCGTGTTGCAGAAAAATTTCTGCAACACGGATTATGTTGCGGAAAATTTTGCAACGTAGGTCAAGTTGCTGATTATTTTTGCAACAAATGTCTTGTTCCAGTATCTTCTACAACAATGGTCTTTTTGCAATTATTTTGGCAACACAGGTCCAGTTGGGATATAATTTATTTTGTAATAGAGGTCTTTTTACAGGGGTTTTTTTCAACAGAGACCTTGTAGAGAGCAGCAAGCAACGACCATGTCGGCCGAAAGAAAGGCCGATGCTCCCTTGGGACGGCAGTGCAACAGTGGAAGCAGCTCCTCGTGGTTGGACGCGGACGCCGATGCTTCCCCGGGACAGCGGATGCAGCTTGCGTTCGGATGCACCGGGATGACCTCGTCGGCGTGCTACCGGTGGCGGCGATCAAAGCAGTGTGAGGAGGCGTCACCTTGATGGGAGCTCGGGAGGAGCACCAGATCCATGCAACATACCAGTTGTCGCAGCAACAACGACTCAGTTGTGAAATCTAGTATAGGTAGTATGTTGCTCCTAGTCATTTGATTAAAATTAGATCCAATGGCCACGAAGGCGGCGGACGTGCCCATCGTTATCCGTCGGTGATTCCAATCATTTTCCTTAAATTTTTATTCTAGTCTTATTATTGTGGAGTTCGAAGAGGTAAACATGAATGTTTTCTAACATTTATGTGGATTTAAAAAGTTCGGGATTACTAGCACGCACAATTATTGTGCATCTTCATTATATTTTTAGAATACATAATTATAAAAAAAATAAAAATTTTGTATTTCAAAAATTGTTCAACGTCTATTAAAACTCATTGTGTAAAAACAATAAATTCTATAAATGTGTTAAAAACATGTTAAACGTGTTTGTATAAATGTAAGAATAAATTTTAATAAATGTTGAACATTTTATGAAATAGATGTTGCAAAATCCTTGAATGCATGACGAATATTTTTCAAGAAACACGTTTACAATTTCTTAATACATGTGAGAATTTTCCAAAATATGTTGATTTTTTTTCAAATGCACTAACACTTTATTTAATTTAATGGCAGCTGTAATGTTTTCTTATATTTCTTTTTCAAATGGAAAAATAATCCAAAAACGAAACATGAAATTGGAAAAAAATGAAAGGAAACCTTGTGTGGAGCCCACAAGAGCGCCATACTGAGCAACTTATTCTTTTTTCTTTCTGTTTATTATTCACCCATTATTCTTTTTATAATTAGATATCTATTTCCATACTGCACATACAACTACTCTTATCGAAGGGCCCAAGGCCAATCTTTATTAGATAGAAAAGAGGGTAAAACCGGACGCCATCAGGCTAGGCGATCTAGCGCCGATGGCCTACGTCAGTTAACAGAACGAACGCTCCGACCCCTGTTGGAGCAGAACCAGAACATGGATAGGAAGCAAAATACAAAGTACAGCCTCCCGCCTCAAGCAGAGATGTCTGCAACACACCCAGCTGCCCTCCACACGGCAATATCTTCACGGATCAGGTCGAGGACGCGGTCGGCGGTGCTGGCCGTGTGCTGGAAGATTCTTGCATTCCGCTCCTTTGAGATCCTCCAATGCACCAAGATGACAATGGTGTCGAAGTCCCGCATGATCGCCTTGGGGATGCTCTTCCTTGCGGACAACAACCAGTCCTCTGTGGTGTTGCAAGAGTCATCAGGGATAGAGAAGTGTGCCCCCGTCCATTGCCTGAAGATGCTCCAAAGGTGCTGCGTATATCTGTAGTGCACAAAGAGATGTGTGCAATCCTCCGGTTCCGCTGTGCACAGAGGACATGTAGAATTGGACGGCCACGCTCTACACAGCAGGTTGTCTGCCGTGAGGCAGCGTTTGTGCACGACTAGCCACATGAAGAAACAACAGTGGGGCGGCGCCTTGGACTTCCAAATAGGCTTGTAGCATGGAAAGCGAATGCCAGCCATGAAGAACATCCGATATGCGCTGCTGACAGAAAAGCACTGGTTATCCGTTAGTCTCCATCTGGGGCGATCAAAAACTTCGGGTGTCAGCACCGTGGCCTGCGAAATGTCCCAAATTTCCAGGTATTGCGCGAGCGCCTGAACTGAGAGATCTTCCCTTATGTCTTGGATCCAGGCTTGGTTGTGCAGCCCCTCCTTGACAGATCGCCCGGAGTCGCGCACAAAGGAGAAGAGGACCGGAGCAGCATCGGCGATCGATCGTCCATCAGGCAACCAGTTGTTTGTCCAGAATCTCGCAGACTCGTCGTTGCCTAGCGAGACAGCGCATGCTGCCTTAAAAATAGCCCCAACCTCCTTCTCCGTGGGGTCCAGCAAGCTATGCCAGGGCCTTTCCTCCGTAGCCCATCTGAGCCAAGGCCACCGGCATCGCAAGGCCAGCCCAAAGAGCCTGAGGTTTGCCAAACCGAGGCCACCCAGCTCCTTTGGCCTGCAGACCCGAGTCCATGGCAACAAACAATGTCCCCCGTTGATTTCCTCCTCTCCTTTCTAGATAAAACCTCGGCATATTCGTTCAATAACCTTGATCGCCCACACCGGCAGCGGGAGCACTGACATGAAGTGGAGAGGAAGAGCCATGAGGATTGAGCTAGTAAGAGCCAGACGCCCCGCAGCAGCCAACAACTTCGGCTTCCAGCCTTTCATCTTGTTTGAAAATTTATCCACCATTGGCCAAATGTCATTCCTCTTCAGCCTATATCTGGAGAGTGGGATTCCCAAGTACTTGAAAGGGAATTTTTGCCTATCGCATTGAAATGCTCCGCCACAGTGCTCTCAACCTCCTCATCACAACGGATACATGTTATGGTGCTCTTCCGCAGGTCCGCAAACCCGAAGCTTCTCCAAACAGATCTAACATGCTGGCAATCACCTGATTGTCAACCGGAGTTGGCTGGAAGAAGAGAACTGCATCGTCGGCGAAAATAGATGCCCTGGGTGTGTTGCTGTCGAGACCGAGAGGAGATAGGAGGCTTTTTTGCTCGGCCCAGCGCAGCATGGCGTGCAAAGTGTCCATTGCCAGGATGAAAAGTGCAGGCGACACCGGATCCCCTTGCCTCACCCCTTGGCCGAGAGCAAAGGGTGCCGACAGTTCTCCATTGATGAGCACCAAGGATGACGCAGAACTGAGAAGGCCACAAACCCAAGAGCACCACCTCCTTCCAAAGCCTCTATTTCTCATCACCTCTAGGAGGAACTCCCAAGAAAGCGTGTCAAAAGCCTTGGAGATATCAATTTTCATGAGCACCGCTGGCCTCTTCTTCTGATGCAGCATCTTGGCAGCATTGCGCACAAATTTGAAGTTTTCATGAATGCTACGGTTGGAGATGAAAGAACTTTGGGCTTGCGAAATAATATCCGGTAGTAAGGGCGTCAACCTGATTGCCAAAACCTTGGCAAAGATCTTAGCTGCCCCATGGATCAAATTGATAGGCTTGAAGTCTCCAAGCTGCAGCGAAACATCCCTTTTGGGCAGGAGCATGATGATCAAGGAATTCAGCCCCCCAAAGGAGAGGAATAGCCCCTCATATAAAGCGTGCATGACATTCATCAGATCCTCGGCTATGATATCCCAGC